ATTAGTGAAAAGGCCAGACTTCAGGGGTATCTGAGGCAGGCTTGGAACACAAGAGTCAGGGTGGCTTCTGGGTAATACCAGATGGCTAGGCCTCAGACTGACGAAGCCTCTTGGATGAGGGGCGAAACGTTTCTTTTTAACAAAAAACGAAGTCCAGATGACATGATTCAACCTTTTTTTGTTGTTATATACCTGGATGACTGAGAAAACAAACTTTGTGTTTTTGAAACCATTAGTGAAAAGGCCAGACCTCAGGGGTATCTGAGGCAGGCTTGAAACACAAGAGTCAGGGTGGCTTCTGGGTAATACCAGATGGCTAGGCCTCAGACTGACGAAGCCTCTTGGATGAGGGGCGAAACGTTTCTTTTTAACAAAAAAACAAAGTCCAGATGACATGATATCTGCATCTATTTCATATTTCAATCAAGTCATGTCAAAGGAGGTGTCTCATTTCCACGTTAGTCCGGATGTATGGAGGACAGGAGTGCAGAAAATGTGTGCCCATGGTTTACTTGATCTGAATATTTCTGTGTGCACACACTTTTATCATTTTGTCCTTGGCCAACTGTCAGTACGAAAGCTGCGCACTCTTTCAAACATGAGGTGGTGCTGACAGAAGAGCTGAAAATGTTTAAAAATGAAGCTCCACAGAGTGTTTGTGTCATTCAGTTTTTCTCAGAGCGTTTCAAGGAAAAGAAAAAAAGCTGTTTAGTTGTTTCCGTTGTACTGAATAACATCTGTAGCTCTGTGTGAAGGTCGAGCTAGAGGAGTGCACAGAGCGTCGTACACGTCAGTTAGAAGACTTGGAAGCTGCGTTCGCTGATCTGCTGGAGAACGATGGAGAAGAGACCGTCCAGCGATGGAGCAGACATTCAGGGTAACATTCTTCTAAATGGATTTTATCATCTGTAAATAGACTCCATGCTGCAGCTGTTCCGTTTCAGTCCATTCACTCGGTACAAATCATTACGTATGGGATATTGAAATATATTTCTATGTTATTAGTGACTACTTGTATTTTTTACATTTATATGGCATTTTATGTCATATTTGTATGTGTTAAAAACTGAGGCCGATCATTGTTCTGGAGAGGTTCTGTTTCCAGTAGGAAGGATTTTTTTAGTTACATGGCTACATGTTTTCAACAGACATACACCAGTGTTTTGAAACGTATTGGAACTGAGGATAATTGGCTGAAAGCTGGTCATGTGATTGAGTGTAAGGTGAGCTGTGGATGTGGGAGGTGTGGCCAAGCTCTGAAGAAAGCTGTTATGCTCTGGATTGTACCATACCATACCATTTTATTTATAGAGCACTTAAAACAGCAACAAGGCCAACCAAAGTGCTGTACAGACAGAACAACAGACAACACACGAAGCAATATACAAAATGAAGTAAATCAGAAATATAGACATAAAATCGATGCAGATAATAAATATGACGACAAACCAATGTGGAGCATACTGGTTAAAAACGCAGATCCTCTGGTGTTGAAAGCTACTGAATAGTAGTGAGTTTTTAAACGGGACTTGAAAACCGAGAGGGAGGGGGCCTGTCTGACAAGCAGAGGTAACTCGTTCCAGAGTCTTGGTCCTGCTACAGAGAAGGTCCTGTCACCTCTGCGCTTAAGACGAGTTCCTGGAACTGTGAGGAGCAACTGGTCCGCTGACCTCAGGGAACGTGGTGGGACATACGGTTGTAGCAGATCAGAGAGATGGGGGGGTGGGGGGACAAAAATGTTCAGTGATTTGTAGACATACAGGAGTATTTTGAACTGGATTCGAAGGTGAACCAGTAACCAGTGCAGTGAGGCCAAAACTGGTGTAATGTGCTCTCTTTTGCCTGTACTGGTTAAAAATGGGGCTGCTGCATTCTGGACCAGTTGTAGTCGTGCAATGGAGGTCTGACTGATACCAAACAGGAGCGAATTGCAGTAATCAAGCCTAGATGTAATGAATGCCAAGGCTGCTCAAAAGTAGCATAACTGCTTTTGTTGGTACATGATGGTTAGCATGTCTACCTGTGAAGCTCTGGTTTTGAGTTTTCCTTTTTTTTCTTTTGCATTTGGGATTTGGGATGTGCACGAAGCTAACACAAGTGAAGCAGAAGCCTTCGGTTTGCTCCTGTCCTCAAGGGTGCAGTTTCTCACTTCATGAGAAGCACCAGCACAAGGCGTGTCCTGTCTGTCAGGGGATTGTTCATGCCCAGAGAGCCTTGGCAGAGCCCGAGGCCAGTGCATGTTGTCACCAGCTTTGTTGTTCCATTCTGGAGACGTGGGTTAAGTTTTTGAAGAAAGCGCTGGGGGAGGCTACTGTCGCATGGCAAGAGCCACTACTCTCAAAGCATGGGACCCCGGTTTTATCTGAGTCTGACAAGGATGTTTTTTTGGATCTGCATCATCGCTTTCATCAGGGCGGACCACAAGGACTGTATAGAAGGGTTCGCTGAAAATGAGGAAGATGCTGTTCAGTCTCAGGTCGTTTTCACACCAGATAGTCCGGTAGACTCGGTTCGGGACCAATATTCATGACCTTTTGTTACACTTGAGCTGGTGCGTTTGCATTCACACTGCACTGTGCAGTCGAGCCAACCTGTTGAACCAACCTATTCCCCCGCTCGCCTGTGGGGGCGCTGCACCAGAACTACTGAAAAAAACGACACAAAAACCTCTGAAGACACATCTTCTTTTTCTGGAAATAAAAATAAAAACGAAGTGGCATCAACTTTTAGCAGTTTTAGGAGTTACATTTTGTCATTTTTCAAAAATGGACTTAGCATGAGCAGAAGACCATGGAGAATATAGTTTTTTCACACAAGGCAGCTGACGGCTCCATATAAGGTCAGAGAAATGCGTGTTTGTTTGTCCTGCAGAGCGGGGCCCGGTCTGTTTACATTCTCATTGCACTCGAACCGCGTTGGAGTTCTCTTCTACCGGACCGAGACCTAGGTTTTAGCCCGGGCCAGAGTTCGATGGCGCGTTCACACCTCCCTAAACGAACCGGACTTTCAAGGAAAACGAGCTACAGTTCAATTAAAGCGGACTAAACAGGGCTGGTGTGAATGCACCCTCAGTTTCAACTGGACGTCTCAGGGAGACGAGGACAAGAACATTGGCCTTGACGTTCATGGTCTCTTGGAGGACGACAGTGTACTCTTGTTGGGTGAGGATGCCGCCACTGTGCTGATTGACCAGTACAACACATCTTTTTTTCTCTCCATATCAGCGTGCAGCTGAAAAACTGGACGTGGAGTGGCCCTCTCCCCTGCCTGCACAAAAACCATCACAGTTTACCGGGTTTTATTTCCCAGCAGAGTGTCACAGTCAGTGTCTTCATGTTCTCAGACAATCTCAAAACTTAATGGTCAGATTTAATCACAAACAATGTTTGTTCAGGGGTAGATTTTATTTCATCATGAAAAATGGACTAAACTATCCACTATCTTCAGTCGACATGTCGGGAGAAAAAAAATCACCATACTTCTTCAACTAGATAATGTCTGACTGTGTCATTTTACTTTTTCTTTGCACATTTTCCAGCATGTCTTCTATGGCCCGTCTGGTATCCAGTTTGAAGGCCAGAAATCCTTGTCCGGACTATGAAATGGTAAGAATGTTTCCGAACTGCATGCAATGCTAAATACAGTTTAACCCAATCAACAAAGGAAGCGTACCGTATTTTTCGCTTTGTAAGTCACGTTTTTTTGCATAATTTGCATGCCCTGTGACGTATAGTCAGTGTCAGAGATTCTTTGTCGTTCCAGTGGAGCGAAATTATGTACCCAGGGTCGCAGTTACATCCAACAATAAAATGTAAAAGAAAAACAATGATAACATCAAAGATATGAACTAAGAAAAACATTAACTAATTATACACTAAGCACTAATAGCATAAAACCATTAGGTCAAACAGCAGCACGAACATGAGTCTGTGTGAGCAGATGAGCACGCATGAACACATCAACATGAAACAGATCAGCAGCAACATGAAACTGATCAGCAGCAACATTGAAACTGATCAGCAGCAACATGTGATTTTTCACAGTGATTATTCTGGTTAGAGATTCATGAGTCTAACAGCCTCAGGGTAGAAGCTGTTCCTCAGTCTAGTGGTTCTACACTTAATGCTCCTTAACCTCCTTCCTGAGGGGAGTGGGGCAAAAAGTGTGTGTGCTGGGTGAGTGGGGTCCTTCATGATGCAGGTGGCCCTCTTCCTGCATCTGGAGGTGTAGATGTCTGTGATGGTGGGGAGACTGACTCCAACATCTTCTGTGCAGCCTTCACCACTCTCTGCAAAGCTTTTCTTTCTGCAGCTGTGCAGCCTCCATGCCACACATTGATGCTGGAGCACAGGATGCTCTCCACTGCACACCTGTAGAAGGAGGTGAGGACTGAGCTTCCAGACCAGCTCGTCTCAGCCGTCTGAGGAAGTAGAGTCTCTGATGAGCTTTCTTCATCAGGCTGGTGGTGTTGTTGCTCCAGCTGAGGTTGTCATTCATGTGCACACCCAAGTACTTGTAGCTGGAGACCACTTCCACCGCAGATCCTCTTATGTTCAGGGGGCTGTAGGTGTGTTTGTTCCTTCTGAAGTCCACAACCATGTCCTTTGTCTGCTTCACGTTGTTGTGAAGGTTATTCTCTGTGCACCAGCTCTCCAGGTGTTCCACCTATAGGCCGAAGCGACGTATTTATGGATTTTTTTTTCCCCATATTTATAAACCAATTTTTGGCTGAGATATTAAATTTTTCATTCATTCTGACTGAAAAAAAATTGAACACTACCATGTTTCAACCACTAGATGGTAGCAGAGTTGTAAGGCATGCTATTGTATCATGTAATAGGTAAACGTGGCTATTTTGACAAATTCAAAAAAGTTCAATACAAAAACAACTGGAATTTATTTATTATACTTTATCCTTTATTATTTTTGTCTTGGATGACTGGGAATCTTCATGTTACAACCGGCAAAAAGGCTCGTTGCGCCAGGTTGTAATTGGGGGTGGGCGTTTCCACCCTCTGCACACCTCAAGCAGCCATGGAGTCAGATGAAAAGGTTAACAGTGTTTCTAAAAAAGTTAAATCTGGTCCTCTGGACATTCAAAAAACAAACAAAGCAAAACAAGAAAAAAATTTGTAGAAACGTTTCGTCTTTCATCCGAAAGACTTCCTCAGTTTGAGGTGTAGTATTCAGAGCCTTGACGTCCTTTTCAGGGACACCACCAAGTCATTGGTTCAGGTATGTTGATGACACCTGGGTTAAAATTAAATCTCAGGAAGTCCAACATTTTACTGACCACATCAACTCTGTGGATAAATACATCAAGTTCACACGAGAAGATGTAAAAAATGGCAGGTTGGCTTTCTTGGACTGCGAGGTCTCAGTCTCTGATAGAGGACATTTGCAAACCGAGGTGTACCGCAAACCCACCCACACAGACCAGTATTTGCAGTTTGACTCCCATCACCCTTTGGAGCACAAGTTAGGAGTCATCAGGACTCTGTACCACAGAGCAGACAGCGTCCCCACTAGCTCAGGAGCCAGGCAGAAGGAGAAATCCCACACAAGACAGGCTCTAGAGCAATGTGGATATCCTAACTGGGCCTTCCTGAAAGCAGAGAAGAAACCCAAACAGGACTCCAGTCAGCCATCAGGTGAAAAGGAGGAACCCAGACCCAGACCAGTGGTCATTCCATATGTTGAGGGAGTATCAGAGAAACTGAGACGTTTATTTTCTAAACATAACGTCCCAGTGGCTTTTAAACCCCAAAATACATTAAAGACTGGTTCATCCCAAAGATCCAGTCCCCCGGCACAAACAGAGCAATGTTGTGTATGCTGTTCAGTGTCAGGAGGGCTGTGATCAGTCTTACATCGGGGAAACTAAACAGCCACTGGCCAAAAGGATGGACCAGCATAGAAGATCAACATCATCAGGCCAGGACTCTGAGGTCTACACTCGATTTCCAGGCCAGCGGTCACTCTTTCAGGGATGAAGATGTTCACATCCTGGACAGAGAGGAACGATGGTTTGAGAGAGGAGTAAAGGAGGCCATCTTTGTGAAAAGAAATCGTCCATCATTAAACAGGGGTGGAGGCCTCCGGGTTCAACTGTCCCCCTCTTACAATGCTGTGATTGCTAGTATCACTCAGCCCTCTGTGAACAGTAAACAGCCATCAGTGTGCTAATGATCCATTGTTAGGCTGATGGTCCTTCTTGAGCATGTGATCAGCTGGTTTTGGTTGTCAGCAGCAAACTGGTTGATCCACTCTGAGAAGGTGCTATTTAAGAGACTGAGCTGAATACAGCTCCTCAGACTGAGGAAGTCTCTCGGATGAGAGACGAAACATTTCTACATTTTTTTGTTGATTTGCTTTGTTTTGTTTTTTGAATGTCCAGAGGACCAGATTTAACTATTTTAAATTTTTCTTCCTGGATTGTTAAACATGCATCAGGTTAACAGTGTTTATTTACAAGGTGAAAGAATGATGATATATTTATATTGGAGTCTTACTAGACTTCATGGTGAGCCTCGGGTCAAAATAATAAAAAAAATATAAATATATTTGTCTTCCTCTCATCCTGATGCATGCTAAATAATCCAGGTTGAAAAATCTAAAAAAGTTAAATCTGGTCCTCTGGACATTCAAAAAAACAAAACAAAAAATTCTAGATATTAGCTTTAGTTTGTTTAATGCTCGTCACTGAGGGTTTTCGAGCAAGGTGATGGTCCTGAAATCACATCGAAGAGTATCAAATGTTGGGTGTTTTTTTTACCTTTACCAGGAAGAAATCCATTGAGATTATTAATCTCTTTTACAAGGATGTCCTGGGATGTCCTATTTACATACCTGCAAACTTGTCACTTTTCAGCGAAATTTGCCGATTTCAAACTAAAATATGTAATTTATGTGAATCGTCTAGATTCGAAGAGTTTTTGCTTTTTGGGTGAGGGGGAGGGGGATCAGAGGCGTGGTAAATGGCATAATTTCCCTTTAAGAAACAGCGTTCCTCCTCGGTAACTTGGCTTAGCAGGTGGTCATCTCTTCGG